TTTAAGAACTCCCTTTCTGAATTCAAAGAGAATTACACCATTGACACATTTGAATTCAGGTTGAAACTAAGCACTATGGTCATTTCTTGCACTTCTCCCATTAGCTGAGGTTTAGTTTTGCTGTATCATTTCAGCTGGGGAGGTCTTTGGCTTGTTGCAATGATTTTTCAAATCTTGCTCTTGAAGCCTGACAGAAATTTTCTGAAACCTGCTTTTCCTAACTTGTCAGTTCCATATTTGCATCTATATCTGACATCTATTTATTAGGTTTCATATTTATCATCTGGCAGTTCTAGAGATGGGTCTGAGTTGTGTACATCATCCTTTAGTCTCATTTTCTTAGTATATATGTATATAAAGCTTGCCTTTAGATTTTCCTTTACTGGAACTATTTGTTTTAAAGCTTCTGGTGACAAACAGATACATGGAAACCTAAATATCTGAGTTCAGAATGGTTCCTAGGTTAGTTTTTCCTACTTCCTTCTGTTGCTTCTATACATATGTCATGTGTGCTTGTAGTTTTTCTTAAATGTGGGAAACAAAAACATAGCTTCAGACTCTGTTTTCTGCTCACTTCTTCTAGAGGGTACAATAATAACTTGTATCTAGGGGCGCCTGGGTGGCTCAGTCGTTAAGCTTCTACCTTCGGCTCGGGTCATGATCCCAGGGTCCTGCGATCAAGCCCCGCATTGGGCTCCCTGCTCAACGGGAAGCCTGCTTCTCCCTCTCCCACTCCCCCTGCTTGTGTTCCCTCTCTCACGGTGTCTCTCTGTCAAATAAATAAATAAAATATTTAAAAAAATAACTTGTATCTAATTCTTTATTACATAAATTAGATAAGGCACACAAATATTCTTTTTTTAAATAATTTTTTATTGTTGTGTTAATCACCATACATTACATCATTAGTTTTTGATGTAGTGTTCCATGATTCATTGTTTGTACATAACACCCAGTGCTCCATGCAGAATGTGCCCTCTTTAATACCCATCACCAGGCTAACCCATCCCCCCACCCCCTTCCCCTCTAGAACCCTCAGTTTGTTCTTCAGAGTCCATAGTCTCTCATGGTTCGTCTCCCCCTCCGACTTACTCCCCTTCATTCTTCCCCTCCTGCTATCTTCTTCTTCTCCTTCTTTTTTTTTCTTAACATATATTGCATTATTTGTTTCAGAAGTACTGATCCGTGATTCATCAGTCTTGTACAATTTGCAGTGCTCACCATAGCACATACCCTCCCCAATGTCTATCACCCAGCCGCCCAATCCCTCCCACCCCCCACCACTCCAGCAACACTCAGGTTGTTTCCTGAGATTAAGAATTCCTCATATCAGTGAGGTCATATGATACATGTCTTTCTCTGACTGACTTATTTCACTCAGCATAACACCCTCCAGTTCCATCCACGTCGTTGCAAATGGCAAGATCTCTTTCCTTTTGATGGCTGCATAATATTCCATTGTGTATATATACCACATCTTCTTTATCCATTCATCTGTGGATGGACATCTTGGCTCTTTCCACAGTTTGGCTATTGTGGACATTGCTGCTATAAACATTGGGGTGCACGTACCCCTTCAGATCCCTACATTTGTATCTTTGGGGTAAATACCCAGTAGGCACACAAATATTCTTAAGCCCAGAAAAAGTTTAGTGTTGATTGGGTAACAATGGTACGCATTTACATAGAAATCATGAAAGGCAAAACCATCTAAGAATTTCTCACCTAAAGCTCAGTCATATATTTGAATTTTTAAAAAATATTTTATTTAGGTGTTTTATTTCCCATCTTATTCCAGAAATGGAATTCAGTTTAATACCCTCTTCGAGCTTACAAGCAACATCCAAGGCTTACTTTGTATTGCCTCCATAGTGGTTCTCAGACATAATTCATTCTCGGTCTTGCAAGGGTGCATCACAGTCTCTTGGGGCTTTTGTTTAAAAATTTTTATTTCCCCGGTCTTAAGCCTACAGAATTAGAATCGCCCTCTGGGTGTGTGAAACTTAGGAATCTGAAGTTTTCAAGTTTTGCAGGTGATTCAGATCCTTAACCAGGTTTGTGAATGATTACACTCCTATACTTGGAATAGTGCAGGGTCCTTAATAAAATCTTTTATGACCCTAGATCATCAGTGGTATTGTTTTCTTCAGACAAGAAGAGCATTTTATACTAGTATACATTTCATTTTCTGGACATACTTTCATGTTGTCTGTACAGCTTTACATTTTGTTAGATGAAGATCCATTTTCCCATACAGCTTTTGTTGACCTCAACCATCCTCTGCAGTATATATTCCTGAGGAGCTGAATGACAGGCAAGAAGGCATCTTCTTTGGCACATTTCTTTGAAGAAAAACTGGGCATCTGTAGGCCCCTCACTGAAACATGAAGTGTGATTTTGGCTGTTGAAGCTCATGGTCCAGAAGCCTGTGGTGCTGGCCCTCTGTAGGCCACAGCTGCCCCGGCTTTCCTGGCCGTCCCTGCTCTGTGCAGTTTTCTGCCTCGTTCATCACACCAGCACTGTCGCATAAGGTGATTGGTCACATATAATATTTAGCAGCAAATCCCTGACTTCTAATATGCAAATATTATTCCTCTAATGCTGGCTCTGCAGCTGTTGCCTTTTTGAGGCCCCAACGAATGTCACTTGACTGATGATGTCTTGGTGTGAAGGATTAAAAGGGAATCTTGAGTTACCACAGTACAGAAGCCAACTCAATCGAGTGTTTATTGGAAAGATTTGGTATCGTGAGACCACTGTTCAATATCATCCTATTTACAATATTAATTTGCCTTAACGTGAAGAGGTTTTTGGGACTTAACTTTGTGTGTGTGTGTGTTAATGTTCTTTAATCACCTGGTATCAATCACTTTAAGATAATCATAAGAAAAGTAATTACTTTTACATCATATCAGGTTTTCAGCATTTTGTGTTGCTTTCTCACAGTAGCAACTGAGTCATTGAGACATTGCCCCAGGGAAAGGAAAGAGGAAAAAATGGTTAAATGCACAGCAAAAAGTCTTCAACAGATACTCAAAGATTGATTACCTCTGTCTTCTTTTTACTTGACACTAATTTCTTCTACCACGGAGTAAAAAAAACTTGGAAATTCAGTTACTGCTTTCTCCTTCCTTCCTCTCATCCTTCCCTCCCTCTCTCTTTCCCTTCCTTTCTTTTATTCATTTTTTAAAGCTATTTATTGAGTGCCTTTTATAAAAAGTGTTCTAGGGACTGAGAATACATCAGTGAATTAAGTCCTTGCCTTCATGGACTTTACTTCTAAGTATAAAAGACAGAGAAAACAAAAAACACAGACCAACTTGTGTAGGCATTTGTAGGTCATAGAAAATATTTTGGATTTTATTCCACCGTATGATAGCAAGCTGTTGGCTGGTTGAGAAAAGTAAGTGGCAGGATCTGATTTATCTTTTAAAAGGCTTACTCAGACTGTTGTGCGGAGATTAGATTGTAAGGGTGGGGGCAGTAGTTAAGATGACTAGTTGGGAGGTGAGAGGTTGGTAGTGGTAGTAGTGAAAAATAATATATTTGTATTTCAAATCTAGAACCCATAGGATTTGCTGACAGTTGGTTATAGAATTAAAAAGAATGGGCTTTAGGATAATGCCTAGGTTTTTGACCTGAATAAGCCAGCAAATGTAGTCACTGTTTGCTGAGATGGGAAATGCTTGTGGAAAAGCAGGCTTGAGGGCAAAGTTGGAGAATTAAGAGAACATGCCGTGTTTAGGTATGTATTAGACAACCAAATGGAGATGTCACCTCTGCAGTCGGAAATACAAGCCTGAAGTTACAGGCAGAAGTCAGGGTAAGCATATACGTGTGGAGCGAATAATCCGTAGATGATGATTAAAGCTGTGGGAGAGAGAGTGCATGAGATCACCCAGGGACTGAGCTGAGCAGATATATCAGGGAGGACTGTTTTGAGAACTCTTGCTACTGAGGGGAACAGAGCAAAGGAGGAGTAGCTGGAAGGAGATAATGAGGTCAAGGGAGATTTTTGTCATTTTGATTTGTTGTTTGTTTAATAAAGTTCATCCTTTGTTAAAAAGTAGAAGGCAGGGTGTATGTGCACAGATCCTGGAAGCCTGGAAACCTGATGGTAGGAGGATAAAGTTCTCCTGATTGCTTCTATTTTATACTCAGGGAAATAAGACACAAAGTCATGAGCTGAGGGGAGGGGAGAAGGGGAAAGAGCATATTGTAAGTTTGAGAAGCAATGGGAAGGTGTGAAATAGTTCTTTTGGAGAGTATGTTGCTTAGTATTTCAGACTTTTAGACTCTGAGATAACAGTGTAATCTCAGGAATGCCAAGTATTTCTGTGGATATTTTGCTTAAAGGAACCAGAATAGGAATAGTTCAGTCCAAAAATCACTAAATGTAGACAGAGTGCTTCTCTGATTTGTTCAGAAAATATATAAAAGTCATTTGATAAATTCCAGCCTTTAAATTTTTGAATCGCTAATATAGCTCCCTGGTTCAAAATGCAAAAAGAATAAACATGTAAGCAATGAAGTGTCTTCTTTCCTTGGGTCCCTACCATCTAATTCCTTTCCCTGGAATCTGTCAATGATAAAACACTTCCTTGTGTTTCCTTCCAGAGATACTTCATTGATCCATTTTTTATTTTTATTTTTTTTAAGTTGGCTCCACGCCCAGCTTGGAGTCCAATGCAGGGCTTGAACTCATGACCCTGAGATTGAGACCTGAGCTGAGATATTGATCTATTTTTTAAAAGCTAAATATATAGTAGGATTTTTAAAATACTCCTTACTCCAATTAAATAAATCATTTTTGAAAATATTATTAATATTCCTTTATCCTCTTTATACAAAAATGATTTATAAAAAGAGCAAGAAAGAGCATCTCTTTTAATAGTGACTTTACAATGTTGGCAGCCATCTGGCAGGAGTTGTATCTGTTAGATTTTTCTTAAGAAATATGTATATTTAACAAGGTTCTTTTTCCTTCTTTGTCTTCACAGCTGATCTAGCATCTTTAATGGATAAAACATATGAGAGAAAGTTGCCTGTTAGTTCTTTAACAATATCGCGGGTAAGAAAACTTAAACATGTATATTTTCAAAGAAGGAGAACGAGAGGCTCTTTATATAGATGAGGCTGTATAAATAAAGACTATCATTCATAGGAAATATTTCTCCAGAGTATGGTATGTTTTTGTAGTTACTAATAGATGTTTTTGTAGTAAAGTAGTAAATTTCTATAACTGAAATAAAAGGTAATAAATTTACCTGGTATCAGTAATCTGGTATCAGTAATCATTGTTGTGTATCTGATTTATTTTTATTTTTCCAGAGTTATGATATTCTGTTCTGTGATACCATGATTTTTTTTAAGTTGGTACACCTTTCAAAGTTAATAGTATTCATTTGTTAATATTGGAAGTAATTTTGATACTTGGGGAAGTCTATAAAAGAATGGATATTGTTAATGTTAAATATGCAGTGCAGTGGAAGGAAGAATAGTATTAGGCTGGGAATCGGGAATAGTAATTGATAGTAACCATTACTGAACACTTTCTATGCCAGCCATTTTACTAGTTTCTTATCGTACATTATCTCTGTTACTTCTTATAGAGGCTATTTGAGATAAGCACTGTAAACTGCATTTTACGTGTAAGACTCAGACTGGTTGATAACTTTCTCAAGTTCACACAGTTCATAAGTAGAAAAAGTGGGCTTCAAACCCAGATCTCTGTGACATCAAACTTCTTTTCTGTTGCCTCCCTCAAATAGATCTGATTTTTTCTTTATCATGAATTCACTTTGTGACATTATCTGTTGGGCCCCTCTCAGTCTCCTCATTTCCAGTATGGGGTCAATAGTATTTCCCTCACAGGGCTGATGCGATGCTAAAATGAAATCTTAGTTGTGAAAATTCTTTGTTGAAATTAATGGCACCATAAAATTCAAGATGAGGAAAAGTAAAGAGACTCTTATCCTTTTTAGTTGGGGCCCTTTCTTTCTCCCTCTTGATATTTTCCTTTTAGTAGGGAAATAGTTTTAACTGGGTCATACCTAAATTGTATAGACTCATAATTTTCAGAGGGGAACCGAAAAGCCATTGCTCATCTCTTACATGACGGATAAAATTTCTGTATGCCATAATACCTGATACTTGTTTAAGCAGCACCTTAGAGCTTAACAGGCTTTCATGTACATTTTCTCACTGGGGCCTCACACTCTTTAGTGTAGGTGCCTTTATTCTAGTTATGCAGATGGAGCAGCTAAGTTCCAGAGCGGCTGTGCCATCTGTCTCTGCCACACAGCAAGCAATCAGGAGAGCTAGTTCTCAACTTTAAGTCCTCTGTTTGAAGCGTGTTTTCTCTGCTCCTTAATGAGATTTCTAAATAAAATCCTTAAGTCCTAGACATTTTTAGAAAGTCTCCCCCTTTTTACTCTTCCTCTTCATGAGGTTTTAATTATATTCACAACATGCATTTTCTCCTACTACATCCTTTTTGCCTGTGTTCTACTTTAGGGTAGAATCCATCCTTGGAATAATTATTTCTGTTTGTTTTTTTATTTTAGCGTTAAGGAGCACACACGGGGATTTTATGGTTTAAAGGAAGACTTTGTTGGTGCAAGGATTACAGGTTGACTCTGAACCAGAGTAGGAAAAATGGTCATAAGGCTGCATTTTCTAAATTTAGATTTTCATCTCTTGGGCCATATTTTTTCAGCCATTAGAGACTTCATCCTTTCAACTATGTGTTCTCATGTTTGGAACTTGGAACACAGAGAAAATATCAGCGTTTAAAGATAAAGGGAAATACTGATAACTATACACGTAGTAGGAGGAGCTCTTTTTTGTTCTGAGCAAGTTTCATGTTTGGTTTTCAGTTTATCTAACCAAGGTTGATCTACACATAGAAAAAGAGAAGCCATTGTATATTCTTTATATTAGCATAAAAGGGTTTCAAGGATGGAGTCATACCATGCGAACAGTGGTCCAATAAAATGGGTGTCTTAATCTTTTTTAAGGTCAGTGTGTGAATTAGATCCAATATATGGCATAATCTGCATTCAACCGAAGGTTTATTTTTCTGTGTTTTAGTTTGTGGACAACATTTCCTCTAGAGAAGAGATAGACCATGCCGAGTATTACCTTTACAAGTAAGTTTTCCATTTTATTTGGTTGTATATTCTCTTACAAAAGGTGGTAGGTATTATATATGTTTAGCACCTTGCTTTTTAAGTTTACATTTTGGAGATATTTCCATATCAATATATAGAGAGCTTCCTCATTTTTTAATAACTGCATCAAATTCCATATTATGAATATACAGTTAAATCAGTTCCCTGTTATAGCCAAGAGCTTGAGGTTGTTTGCGCTCTCTCTTTGTAATTAGGTGCAGTGGAGTAATGAACAACCTTGTACATATGTAATTTTGCACATAATTCTCATAAGTATATACATTTGTAATTACAATAGCTATTGCCAAATTGCTTTCCGCTGAGATTTCACCAACTAACATTCCTGCCAGCAGTGTATGAGAAAGGCCTGTTTTTACATCTTGGTCAACAGGAATTTTCACATTTCTGGATTTTTTGTCAGTCTGATATGTGAAAAATTTTATGTATCCATTGACTTCTTCTCTCCCTTATTTGGATGGAAATACAGTCTATATGCACTATTCACCTATTTTTAATTAACACTATATTTTAAAACTTTGCACATTGCCACATTTACTTCATTCTTTCTCACAGCTGTGAACATCCCACTAAGAACTATAAACGCACACCCATGTGTACAAAGAAAAAGTACAGCACCATCTATAGTAGCAAAAGACACAACCTAAAGCTGGTTAAATAAGGGGATGGTCAATAAATTGATTTATTCTGATAGTTGGTTTTTCATCATTCAGATATCTGTCCAAATGATACCCTACAACTTTTTATTTTGATTCCTTATTGTGTTTTAAAAATCTGATTTATGATTTGTTCCACTTGCTAGGTTTCAAAAATAGACTCCAATTGAAACTTTTAAAATGTTTTCTAGTAAGCATTACATTAAAATTTGCCATTTGATCATACTTTGCTTTGATTAAAGAGTGTTTTATTTTTTCCATCTGGGTACAATTTTTAAAGCTTTATATTGGTGAAAATTTATTCAATTTTTTCATGTGATTTTACTACATAGTAATGAGCCTTTTTTTTTCTTTCTGAATTGGGTAAATTCTACCACCTTTTTGGTGTTTCCTGTTCAAAATTAAAACTTAAGCAGATAAGATTTCACACCTGAAAACATTTATTTTAAATCTAAGTTGCCTTTAATGATGTGATAAGTTTAAATTCTTGGGGCACCTGGGTGGCTCAGTCAGTTAAACATCTGCCTTAGGCTCAGGTCATGATCCCGGGGTCCTGGGATCTAGCCCCGCATTGGGCTCTCTGTTCAGCAGGGAGTCTACTTCTCCCTCTGCCCCTCCCCTGCTCATGCTCTCTCTTTCTCTCTCTCAAATAAATAAATAAAATCTTAAAAAAAAAATAAGTTTAAATTCTAAGTCCTGAAATCATTGCAAGTGCCCTCCTACTCTCCATTAAGATAAATATAAAGGGATTCCTTGATGAGAGTAAGTCCTGCCTTTCTTTTCTTTTTTTTTTTTTAAAGATTTTATTTATTTATTCGACAGAGAGAGACAGCGAGAGAGGGAATACAAGCGGGGGGAGTGGGAGAGGGAGAGGCAGGCTTCCCGCTGAGCAGGGAGCCCGATGCGGGGCTCAATCCCAGGACCCTGGGATCATGACCTGAGCTGAAGGCAGCCGCTTAATGACTGAGCCACTCAGGCGCCCCAAGCCCTGCCTTTCTTGAGTGGTTCTTTGGCACTGTAAGTCTCCTTTGAGAGTTATTTTTGCCTGTGGTGGAAGGTATATTTGGGCTATCATCTACCTAGTTCTCATTCTTTTGCTTTGTTGATGGCAAAATGCAGAAAACAGTTACAATGTCTAAAGAGAAATTATTTCTTAGAATTCGATCCTGTGGGACACAGTGCCATAGCCTTGGAAGAAATACATGCCAAATTTACAAGTACTTCTGTAGCATGTAATTGATTTCAGTGATTCAACATTCAGCAAGTATTTACTGAGCACCTACAGCATGTCCAGGCTGGGTCAAGGTGGTGGCATACAGTGACCAATAAGTTAAACACTGTCCCATTCCTCGTACATTAAAGTTTAACTGAGAAATTTAAGTCCCGCCTTTAAGACCATCCATGATTCTTCACATGAGGTTTGGCCTGGAGTCTTACTGAAAGTTTCCTAAAATCTCTCTCCTGTTTCCATATAGAACATCTACAAGACTCTTACCCATCTTAAATCTGAGCCACTGTTTAATTTGACGTCCCATCCTTTGCTTAATCAAAACTGATGTTCTTATATGATATTGAATGTGAACAATACTTCAATAAAAAAAAAACTGATGTTCTAACTATTCTAACTCCTTATTTTTTTTTTTTAAAGATTTTATTTATTTATTCATGAGAGACAGAGAGAGAGAGAGAGAGAAGCAGAGGGAGAAGCAGGCTGCCCGCTGAGCCGGGAGCCCAATGCGGGACTCGATCCCAGGACCCTGGGATCATGACCTGAGCCGAAGGCAGACTATGACTTATCACTTTTTTATTTCTATTCTTTCTTCTCCCTAACCATTGCCAAGAAAATTGGCTCTTTTTCTCAGCCTTTTTTTTTTTTTTAAGAAACATTTTTGTGACTTCATGAGATTACTATTATATGTGTATGAGACTAGGTATAACCCCAAAAAACTGCATCAAGATGTAGATAATGGAGTTGGCTAGATTCACACATTAGCTAAATGTCTCACTTCTGCTCTCCACCCCTAGAAAATATATAAAACAGTTATGCCTCAGCAAAATTAGAAGTTACAAGTTATGAACTCTTGGGGATTCTCTCCATTAATTGATATCAGGAATGTTAATCCTGAAGACATCAGGGGCCCATGGTGTTTCCACTGGTTAGGCTTTCTGCGTGCATTCCAGATGGGATGGCTTTAGGCATCTTAAAGTTAAAATCACAGGTCCAGGGTGAAGAAATGTTGAAACGATTTCTTAATCCCAAACAATAGACAGCTTCTTGCTCGAATGCCCTGAGGATTTCTCATTCCCCAGACAGTACCAACTTTGAGACTAAGGCCCACAACAGGACTTTGGGCTGTCACCTCTGTCATTAGTTCAGCTTTTTCACTGCCTCAGCCAGTGCAGACCAGGCTCAGCAAGCAGAGTTTAGCTGCCACATCCTCTCATCTTCTAGCGATCACATCTCCGCAGTGATTATGTGAAGAGTATTAGGGCCAAAGAAGTTTGGAACCTGGAGTGATCAGTGGAGAGCTGACTGAGCATCTGCCATCCTGTCAGGTGAACAAGTAAGCAGTTCCAAATTGCGGCAGTTCAGGGTGCTGCCGACACATGACAGCTTGTTACCATCCTGTCATCCCAGGAGAGAATTTTAGCCTTTGAATCTCCTGAAGGACACAGGTTTAAAAGTTTAGGGGCTTCAAGATTAAGAGTCCCAGGAATCTTTTAAGGAGAGTTAGAAAGGCTGCTATTGAGAGAGCAGGAGGGAGGAGAATTTCCAAACCCCCTCTTTGGACTGTGATCTGTTAGCTGGGGTCCTACAACCTGATCAACTTTTCCCCCCACCATTCATTTAAAAAAACAAAAAAACAAAAACAAGGAAAGGGAAATGATGCATTAAACAAAGAAATAATAGGAGCTAAAGAGGAACTACAATAAATTGGAATACAATAAATAAAAACCCAACAGCTAAGAAACAAGAAAATAAGGCATGCTAAGAGCTGTTGGGCTATAACAAAGTAAAGGAAATATGATTAAAACAGGAGAATAAAAAAGTGAAAAAGAATAAAATGAGGTAAGAAGGACTTGATCCTCTACATAGTCTATTCACCAAATATGTACAGATATGGCCACAGAGTGGGAAATAGACATAGGCCTGCTATTGGAGAAATACTCATAGCAGGCTGAATAGTTACCCTCTCTCTGAGTGGTTTTCAAGCTGTCTTCCCAGAAGCCCTGGAGCTGGCTTCTCACAGGGGTTTGGGGGTGTGGGTTTGGGAGGAAGAGGCAGTGAGGGAGAAGCCAAGCGCTGTTGCCACCAGCCTTCTGCCTCTGCTTCTGTTTAAGCCAGAGAAGCTGTGTCTCCAGCTGCTTTATGGATCAGGGTCTGCAGAGAGAATTCATAGAGGTCTGTGAACTTAGAATAAAACTATGTATTTTTTTCACTAACCTCAGTAATAATTTAGCATTTCCTTTCATTATGAATACAGACAACAGATGACAGTATTATAAGCAGCATCTGTGTCTTGCTCACTAATAAAAACAGGTTTTTCAAATAGCATTACGTTTGTTGCAGATATTTTAAATTATGCTCATCAATGCTTAGAAATAACATTTGGAATTAAACTGCTAGAGAAGCACATTTTCCCACATCTTAAAGATTTTTTTAAATATTTTGATAATTGTATGTCACTATAATTGGTTTCCTTTGTGATCCTATGTGCTTTTATTTTATGCATGTAAAACATCATTCTGGGAAGGGGCTTATGAGCTTTCAGAGTTCCAGAGAGTTCTATGCCACAAAGAAATGTCAAGAACCCCGCTATGAGATCCTGTTTGAAAAAAAGGTACTTTGCTTAGGCTTAGTCCTGCTGCTTCCCCCAGGCCTTTTGAAGTTTTCTAGGCCTTTGTTTTTTTCTTCCTACAAAGAAGGCTTTATTTTCTTAGTTTAGACTTTATGGAGTAAGACGAACATACGGCTGATACGGTGTGCTGTTTTCCAAATGAAAGCTTAAATACAGCCGGCCTCCTGAGCTTCCCCACCGAGCTGGAAGAAGGTGAGGGGAGGCGGGGAGGAGAAGACAGGCCCCTATCTGCTGTCGGCAGGAGACCGGTGCGGGGGCGGCGTGCCGCAGGAACAGGAACATTTCTGCTGGGTTTTGGTATCACCACCCCTCCTGGCTTGGTGAGGGAGAAGCCATGAGACGGCCCAGCAGTAGCAGCAGAGGTTTTGAGGCACAGAGGAGAAAGGTAACCCCACAACTGATGGCTACTGAGAGGAAAGGGCCGTTCAGTGGGCATCTGACCGCC